GAGAGAGAGAGAGAGAGAGAGAGAGAGAGAGAGAGAGAGAGAGAGAGAGAGAGAACAGATTAAGAGAAATACACACACATGCACACACAAAGAATCTGAACAGTACTCTATTATGAACATCATGAGTGGAAGTATCATAGTCAAATAGAGAAAGAAATCAAGAAAGAGATATATTTTTTCAAAAGTAAAATAAAACACGAAGATACATAATGCAGTGTTATAGGGTTCCTGACACTAGTGTGGTCTGGAACCTGAGTTTGATCCCTATCACTTCAAATTACACACACACACACACACACACACACACACACACACATACATGTACTACATAGGCACACAAAGTATTCAGACCTCCTAGATTGAAAACATAAAGGAAGACAAAGAATAAAACAACAAAGCAAATGAAAAATTTATCAATTGCCATCTTGAAGGATTTCTTAAAAAGAATCTAAATTCAAGAGCTTAATTTATGTTTGTGTGTGTGTGTGTGTGTGTGTGTATGTGCATGTGTGTGTGAATAAAAATAGAGGAGAAGCTAGTGAAAGTAGGCATGCTTGCAGTCATGGCTAATAACAATCCAAGGTTGATCCTGGATCCCAAACAGTGGAAGAGACCATTCTTCAAGCTGTCCTTTGATTTCTACATATGCACTGTGGCATGCATGTGAAAACTAACCCCTATCCAAATAATAAATAATTAAATGTATTAAAGCAAACAGAGGAAACATGCAAAGTTATAGATTTAAGAAAACAGAGGTTTTTAAAATAACCACAGAAATAAATTTGAAATGAGATAGTATAAAACTAAAAGTTTACACACATGACTGTGCTCACCTAAGGAGAGAATGATGCATGACATATGGTAAGAATTTTAAATGCTAAGACATTTTTGCTTTTCTGATTTATTTAATCATTTATAAGTAACAGATGCCTTAATTTTATAAGAGAAACATTCATTTTCCTAGAGTCACTCAGGCAGACTGTGATACCATCATTCACAGCTCTCCTACCTCTCTGTGACCTTCAGCCTCCTAGCAGCCAGTATTCACGTCTTTGCCCAAGGATGTCACCTCTGACTGTGGAAGAGTGCCAAATCCTTTAAGCTAGGAGTTCTCAACTCATTGGTTATGATCTTTGTTGGTATCAAAGTACCCTTTCACAGGGATCATCTAAGAACATTGGAAAACAGATACTTACATTATGATTCATGACTGTAATAAAATTATAGTTATGAAGTAGCAATA